TATTTGTATCTGATGTTTTTACTTGGCTGTTCACCGCCCTGAGTCCTCAGGGAGAAGGGCGGTATACAAATTCAAAATAAAATAAATAAATAAATAAATATTAGCCACAAACTTTTCTCCTTGGCTGACCCGCCCCCAGTCTTTCGCCCCAGCACATCGGCCACGGCCCGTACGTCCCAGTCCCTTTGCCAGGGCCCATTCGTTGAAGTACATTTTGCATCGGGCTTTTGGCCTCCCAGGACAATTCGCAGCCAGCGACACTTTGGACAAAGGAGGGGGTCTGTCTTCCTTTCTTTCTTTCTTTCTTTCTTTCTTTCTTTCTTTTTCTTTCTTTTTCTCTCTCCCCTTTCTTTCTTTCTTTCTTTCTTTTTCTCTCCCCGTTTTTTCTTTTCTTTCTTTTTCTTTCTCTCCCACCCCCGCTCTTCTCTTCCCATTCGGGGTGATGGATCCCTCATCCTTTACAGCCCCCCTCCCTCACCTCAGCAGCCTCAGGAGGCTCTGAACTGACAGGCGAGCAGCTTGTGGCAATGCGAACCAGCCCTTGTCTCAGGCACTTTGGACAAAGGGGGGGTGTTGTTGGCCCTCCTGAGCCTCCCTCTGAACTGCAGCCCTCGCTCTTCCACTCCCAAAACCCCCAAGTCCGTGCACTGATTGGCTGGAGGTGAATTGTCCAGGGGGACCAAAAGCCCGACACGAAATGTACTTTGACAAATGGGCCCCGGCAAAGAGACTGGGACGGGACATAGGGGCCGTGGCTGATGTGCCGGGGGTGAAAGACTGGGGGCGGGTCAGCCGAGGAGAAACGTTCGTGGCTAATAACGCAGAGGCGAAAACCTTAAGGTGAAACAGGCAAGGCAAAGAGACCGAGGCGAAAAGTCCCATTCCGTAGTAAGGAGCCTTGGTGGCGCAGCAGACTAAAGCCCTGTTAAGTAACACCAGCTGCCTGCAATTACTGCAAGTTCGAATCTCACCAGGCTCAAGGTTGACTCAGCCTTCCATCCTTCCGAGGTAGGTAAAATGAGGACCCGGATTGTGGGGGCAATAAGCTGACTTTGTATAAAAAAAGAACACCGCTTGGGAGGAGGGGCGAAAGCCCTACTAAGCAGGTATATACAAAAGTATGAAAGGCTATTGCTTAACGCATTGTAAGCCATCCTGAGTCTCCGGAAAAGGGCGGCATATAAATCGAACCAATAAATAAATAAATAAATAAATAAATAAATAAATAAATAAATAAATAAATAAATAAATAAATAAATAAATAATATTGATAAAGATGGATAAATGTTGATTAACTAAAATATGTGGTATGAATTCTATGCTATGTTTAAGTTACCCAACTGAAGCACCAAAGAAGTGATTGTAATCAATAAATCAAAGTAAATTTAAATAGTAAAGCACTGTATAAATGCGAGAGAAGCTTGTCATCAAGACCACGGTCACCAATCAGAAGATAATAACAATAGTAATAATAATAACATCTATACCGACAGAAACACCAATTATTGACATTCATCTACTCCTACATAGGTAACAGATTAACAGAATTGGAAGGGACCTTGTAGGTCATCTAGTCCAACCCCCTGCCCAAGCAGGAGACCCTACACCATTTCTGACAGATGGCTGTCCAATCTCTTCTTAAAAGCCTCCAGTGATGAAGCTCCCACAAGTTCCGAAGGCAACTTCTGTTCCATTGGTTGATTGTTCTCACGGTCAGAAAATTCCTCCTTATTTCCAGGTTGAATCTCTCCTTGTTCAGTTTCCATCCATTATTCCTTGTCTGGCCTTCAGGTGCCCTGGAAAATAGCTTGACCCCTTCCTCTCTGTGGCAGCTCCTCAAATATTGGAAGACTGCTATCTTGTCTCCCTTGGTCCTTCTCTTCACTAGACTAGCCATGCCCAGTTCCTGCAACCGCTCTTCATATCTTTTAGCTTGCAGTCCCCTAATCATCTTGGTTGCTCTTCTTTGCACTTTTAGTACAGAGTCAACATCTTTTTCATAGTATTATGACCAAAACTGGATGCAGTATTCTAGGTGTGGTCTTATTAAGGCTTTATAGAGTGGTATTAGTACTTCACTTGATCTTAATTGTATTCCTCTGTTAATGCCATTTAGGATTGCATTGGCTTTTTTGGCTGCCACCGCACACTGCTGGCTCATACTCCTTGACTATGACAAAACTCTCTTAATAACCATCTTGCTTAAGAACGGAAACTTCTTAGTTTCAGAGGCTCAGTTCTGGTTATAAGTAAAGGACCACCTGTGTCGTCATCTATAATGGCAAAAGTCACAATACTCTTTAAAATCTTTGACCAACCACCTTAAAAAGAAAACCTCTCATTCCAATTTTAAATTCATTTTAAAACTCTCAACATTCCTCAAAAAAATGTCTTCTCTATCATCAGAATTCATTCTAATATTTCATTAAAATGGGAGGATTCTTTCTTTCAAATTAACTGTACTTTTCTGAGTATGAGCCGCACTCCCCCTCCCCCGCTAAAAGTGGGTGAAAATTGTGGTGCGTCTTATACACCGAATGTTGCCACCCTTTGGCCGTTTTTGGCCTCCGCGTGTCGCGTTTTCGGCCTCTGCACACCCCGTTTTAGACCCGTTCCAGGCTGAGGGGATCCCCACAGCACATCACCGCTGATCGCCGCCTCCGCAATTAGCTTTTTCAGCCTCCGCGCATCGCGTTTTTGGCCTCCGTCCATCACATCGAAAATGTGATGTGCAGAGGCCAAAAACGGGGCATGCGGAGGCCGAAAAAGCGACGGGTGGAGGCCAGAAATGTGATGCGCGGAGGGTGCGATGTGCTGTGACGATCCCGGCAGCCTGGAACGGGTCTAAAATGGGGCGTGCGGAAGCCGAAAATGCGACGCGTGGAGGCCAAAAATGCAACATGCGGAGGCCAAAAACGTGACACATGGAGGCGACAATGGGCTCTGGCGATCCCCGCAGCCTCAAACAGCTCATTGGCGGTATTCCGGGAGGCAGATCCAACCGCCAATCAGCTGTTTGTGCTAAATCAGGCTGCGATAATGTGCTGAAGCTGACCAGGCAAGCAAGCTGACCTTGCTGTTTGCTGCAAGGATGCTAGCCAGATGAATGGATGGTGGTAGGCAGAGGCAGAATTTTTTTTTCTTGTTTTCCTCCCCAAAAACTAATGTGTGTCTTATACTCCGGAGCGTCTTATGCTCCGAAAAATATGGTATAATTCATTATTCATTTCCAGTTGTTCAAACACTGTACGAAAAGAAAAAAAGTTTTAAACATAGATAATTTTCCAAAATCAATTTTGATAATAGGTAATAGAAGGGAATGAAGTTTCCTTTGTGATTATAGAGTAAGAGATAAGCTTATACTTGGCTGCAAAGGAAATCATAAGCTTCTGGTTTCTATTTCTTCTTTCTTCTTTCTTTCTGTGTTTTTCTCTTGTTACTTTTTTATTTTTTTAATTTTATTTTACTGTATTTGTTATTTTTAAAAATAACTCAAGGAAGCGAGCATATCCCGCACACTTTTCCCCTCCTATTTTCCTCACAACTGGCTTTTGCGTATAAGGCGGGACTAGAACTGACTCACCTGGTGATTGGTCGAAAGTCACCCAGTTGGCTTTCAAGTCTAAGGCGGAACTAGAACTCACAGTCACCTGGTGATTGGTCCAAAGTCACCCAGGCATCTTCCATTCCATTCCAAAGTCACCCAGACTGAGTTCATCTTTTCTTTTCTTTTTTCTTTTTTCTTTTCTTTTTTCTTTTCTCTTTTTTCCTGCTTTTACTCTTTATTAACTTGCATTGGTTTTTATGCTTTTTGTAAAAAAAATAATTAAAGTAATTAATAATTAGGAATTCAGGAATATGAGCCACGGTGGCATAGTGGTTAGAGTGCAGTACTGCAGGCTACTTCTGCTGCCTACCGGCTGCTTGCAATTTGGCAGCTCAAATCTCACCAGGCTCAACGTTGACTCAGCCTTCTGTCCTTCTGAGGTCGGTAAAATGAGGAGCCAGATTGTTGGGGGCAATAGGCTGACTCTATAAACCGCTTAGAGAAGATTGTAAAAGCCACTGTGAAACGGTATATAAGTTTAAGTGCTATTGCTATTGCTATTCATAAGGAATAGCAGTTGCTATACGCCAGTTGCGCCCCTTTCTGGACCGGGACTCCCTACGCACGGTCATTCAAGCACTCGTCACTTCTCGTCTGGACTATTGTAACGCTCTCTACATGGGGCTCCCCTTGGGGTACACCCGGAGGTTCCAACTGGTGCAGAATGCGGCTGCGCGGGGGATTATGGGAGCGACGGGGCGCTCCCATGTGACTCCTCTCCTGCGCGAGCTGCATTGGCTTCCGGTGGACTTCTGGGTGCGCTTCAAGGTGTTGGTGATCACCTTTAAAGCGCTCCATGGCTTAGGGCCAGGGTACTTACGGGACCGCCTTCTGCCACCAATAGCCTCCCACCGGCCGGTTCGCTCCCACAGAGAGGGCCTCCTCAGGGTGCCGTCGGCCAGACAATGCCGGCTGACGACCCCCAGGAGGAGAGCCTTCTCTGTGGTGGCACCTACCCTATGGAACAATCTACCCCCAGAGATACGAGTGATCTCCGACCTCCGGATTTTTCGTCGGGCCCTAAAAACTTATTTTTTTCAGTTAGCCGGTCTGTCCTGATTTTAGGGCTAGTTTTAAAATTTTAAAATTTATTTTAAATTGACAATTTTTAAATTATGGGCCAAATTTATAAATTATTTTAACTTTATTTTTTAACTGTGATGTTTGTATAGATGTTTTTTATCTGGCTATTCACCGCCCTGAGTCCGAAAGGAGAAGGGCGGTATAGAAATTCAAATAATAACTAACTAAATAAATAAATAAATAAACAAACAAACAAACAAACAAACAAACAAACAAACAAACAAATAAATAAATAAATAAATAAATAAATAAATAATTTTAAAAAAATATTTTTTTCAAATGCTCCAGAAGGCCACTCCGTTCTGTTGCCCTACCACTCCGGAGCATCCGGGATGAATGGCATGAGATAATCGGAATGACGAACCCCAAAAGAGTAAGAAGGAACCCCTGTCCTGTGAATGGTCACTTTTTCTGGGCTGTGGGCTCCTGGCCCAGGAGTCTGGAAGGCTCTCGTGGGTTTCTGGAGCCTCTTCAGCATGGAGAAAGCTGGGGGACGGCAGAAGCAGACGGCAGATGCTTGGGGGTTGTAGCTCGCCGGGCCTGGCGTTTGGCCAGGGTCCTTGGAAGCGCTGCCTTTGGTGTTCCTGCCGGAGAGAGCTCGGCTGGGCTTGGAGGGTCTACTGGGAATCCGTGCTCTGAGCAGCGAGGGGAGGATGTAGCTGTTGGGAGCTGGAACTGGGTCCACCGGACGGGATTTGGTGCGGGCAGCTATGGAGAAGGAGAGCGCCCTCGACTGAAGGCTGGGTCCTGGCTTCTCTGGACTGTATGTCCCCGGTCCGGGGCTTTGAGGCAGACCTGGGGAGGTGCGGATGAGATAAATGTAGTGTTAGGATATGGTTTGAGCCTAACTAGTTGTCCAGGCAATATATGTGTACTGTAACTTTAATCTGTAAATGTATTATGTTACTTTAATGCTGAGTCATGCTGTAATTAGGTAATGACTGGTTGTGAGAGTATTTAAGCAAGGTATTGTAACGTGTTCAGTTGCTGCTATGACATGCTGCCATTGATGATGAAGCTGCTATGATAAGCTACCATTGAGAGGAGTTGCTATCTGCTAATCATCGTTGGATGGATCTGTTACCATCGTGGTTTGTGAACCAGAGTGAGTTTGTTATTCTAACCAACTAATGTCTGTTTGGTAAGAAGATATCTAACTACTGGACTGATTTAACTGGCAAAGACTTGGAACTTGTTTAAAGACTATGAGACTGTTTTTCTACTATAAGGTAAGCTTTTGATAAACCAGTTTGCATATCTCTTATTCGTTGCTCTCAGCAACGTTTCCTTGTGCATTTACTCTGCTGGTTGGTAACACAACACCAATATCCTTAACATGTAGCAGGGGTGGGATTCACTTACCTTTGTTACCGGTTTGCTCGCGCTCACGTGCTCGCTTTGCTTGCTCCTGTGCCCCGTCTGCGCATGTGCAGAAGCTTCTGTGCACGCACAGATCATATTTGATGATGTCCAGCCAGGTGGGCGGAGCCTCCCGCTGCTGCCGCTACCAGTTCGCCCGAACTGGGGCGAACCAGTAGCAACCCACCACTGGAATGCAGGGTTTAGAGACTTTTTTGTAGTGGGTGGAAGGAAGAGGAGGGAGAGCTGGCCTTAGGAACCAGGGCCAAAGCCATGAATCCCTAGAACAGCGTCCCTCAACCGCCATGATTTTAAAATGTGTGGACTCCAACTCCTGTTTGCCTGTCTGTCTGTCTCTCTCTCCCCCATCCTGCTTCTTTCCTTCTTTCTTCCCTTTCTCCTTATTTCCCTTCCTCCTCCTTTCTTTCCTCCTTTCCTCCCGCTGTCCCTTCCTTTCTTTCTTCCCCTCTCTCTCCCTCCCTTTCTTTCTGCCTCTCTTCCTCCTTCCTCTCTCTCTCCCTGCTCCTTCCCTCTCTTCCTTCCCTCCTTCCTTCCTTCCCTTTTTCCTTCCTTCCTCCCTGTTTCCCTTCCTTCCTTCCTCCTTCTTTCTTTCCTCCTTTCCTCCTGCTGTCCTTTCTTCCTTTCTTTCTTCCTCTCTCTCCTCCTTCCCTCTCTCCTTCCTTCCTCCCTCCCTCCCTCCTTTCCTCCCTCTTTCCCTCCCTCTTTCCATTCATTCTTCTTCTCCTTCTCCTCCATCACTCCTTTCTTCCTCCCTCCTTCCTCTCTCTCTCCCTGCTCCTTCCCTCTTTCCTTCCTTTCCTCCTTCCTTCCTTCCTCCGTTTCCTTTCTCCCTTTCTCCTTCTTTCCTTTCCTCCTTTCCTCCTGCTGTCCTTTCTTCCTTTCTTTCTTCCTCCCTCCCTCCTCCCTCCCTCTCTTCTTCCTCCCTCCCTCCTTTCTTCCCTCCTTTCCTCCCTCTTTCCCTCCCTTTCCATTCTTCTCTTCCCCTTTCCTCCCTCCTTCCTTTCTCTATCTCTCCCACCTCCTTCCTTCCTTTCCTCCCTCCCTGCCTCCCTCCCTCTTGCTCCTTCACTCCCTCTTTCTTCCTCCTTTCCTCCTTCTTTCCCTCCTCCCCATTAACTCCTGCCATTATTGCTTGGAGCTTACCTGGAGGTTTTGCTCGCCCCAGCATGGAGTAAGAAGGGCCCTTCGCCCTGCCAAAACGTGTGAGCTCAGGGGCCACGTAATAGCAGGGTCCAGGGCTTGCATCATGGGCTGAGAACAAAGAAAAAAGAAAGAAAGGGAATCATCTGTAAATGAGTCTTTTGGTCTAGGGTTAATGTTTCAGTTTATTCTAGCATTTAGCTGGGGAGTTCTGGGAGTTTTTAAAAGTAATCTTTTAAAAGTAAAAAAAAAAAAAGCCTCTGATGATCGCGCGGCTCAGCTGGGATCATCAGAGGCTTTTAAAAGCATTTTTTTCTGCAACCTCTTCAGCGGAAGAGGTGTAGAAAAAAAATGCTTTTAAAAGCCTCTGACAATCCATCCCAGCTGAGTTGCCTGATCGTCAGAGGCTTTTAAAAGCATTTTTTTTTTTTACAACCTTTTCGGCCGAAGAGGTTGTAGAAAAAATGCTTTTAAAAAGTTTTTTTTTTAAAAAAAGTTGGCCACGCCCACCCAGTCACATTACCCGCACCCACCCACCAAGCCACGCCCACAGAACCGGTAGTAACAAATTTTACATTTCACCCCTGGAACAATCTCTTGAGACTGACCACCCCCATCGCAAGGTTCAGCAGGGCTGTTGCTCACCCTGATTGTTGAGCCTCTGACGAAAGGAATAAGCAGGACTGGTGAAGCGGGTGTAATCATGGTTAACAAATCCAATGGTTGGAGGTAAGCTATAACATCCAGGGCCAGGACCTAAAAAGACATGGGAACATTTTACTTCTTATTTTTCTTGATTATTCTTCATTAACTTCATGATCATATCATGAAGAGCTGTGGTGGCACAGTGCTTAGAATGCAATACTGCAGGCTGACTCACTCCTCACTCCAGGAGTTCGATTCTGACCGGCTCAAGGTTGACTCAGTTTTCCAGGGATGAAATGCTCCCGGTTCGGACCGGATCGGCCAATCCAGTAACAATGGCGGCAGGTGAATGGCGGAGAACTGGTAGCAAAAATCCCTGCCACCCCCCCGCCCATGCCCACCCAATTGCCCAGTCGCCCGCTTGCCTCTTCTTTTAAAAAATGCTTTTAAAAGGTAAAAAAAAAGCTCTGACTTTTAAAAGCATTTTCTTACAACCTATTTCGCCAGATAGATTGTAAGAAAATGTTTTTAAAATTTTTTTAAAAAAAATGCACGCCACAGCTGATCACACATCCCACCCCACACGCTGTTCTACTTACCCAATGCCTCCTTTTGGCATGCGTGCTGCGCACTGTGCATACATGGTGCGCAGGGCAGGTGCGTGCCCATAGCACGCATGCACAGCCAGCGAACCTGTAGTAAACCGGTTCAGATTTTACCACTGCAGTGTTCCGTAGGAATAGCAATAGGATTTATACTTATATACCGCTTCACAGTGCTTTTACAGCTATCTCTAAGCGGTTTAGAGAGCATCTTGCCCCCAACAATCTGGATCCGCATTTTACTGACCTCAGAAGGTTGGTAAAAGGAGGACCTGGATTGTTGGGAGCATATGTTGTAGGAAGAAATATCCTTCTGGGTTCAACTCCAAGGGGAAAAAAACACTGGAAACATGGAGACTGCTTAGAAAGATGGTTTAATGGTGGACAGGATCACATGGTTTGAGTTCCTGAACAGAAAAGGGGCCGAGATACAGCGAGTCCCCAGGTTTTATGCTTTCTCTGGCTTTGAACTTCCTGGGGCCCAGAAAGAGTATCCTGATTGGTTGTCAGACTCCCAGGGAGTGGGGGGTCTTAGCTAGCCTTGCTGGCTGATGTAATCTTCCCAGGTGCCATGTGGTGAGTTTCTGTCCTAGATGGGTCCCATTGTGTTCGTTTCTGTTGCTATTGTGTTACAGATTATGGCCCATTAACAAAGGTGTCTGTGGGGGAGGCAGGAAGCTGCTTTGTCTTTAAAACATGTTTCTCCATTTCTCATCCAGGGAAATATAATATTCTGCCTTTTTAATATTTCCTAAAATATTTCATTCTTCCAGGAAAGGGGTGGGTGCTAACTTCCTACAATGTTAACTCTGTAAACCGCTTAGAGAGGGCTGTAAAATACTATGAAGCAGTATATAAATCGAAGTTTATTTTATTTTATTTCTTTATTTTATTGAATTTCTATACCGCCCTACTCCCGAAGGACTCAGGGCGGTGCACAGCCATGAAATAAAACACATAGATATACAAAATTTAAAATCGAATAAAATGAATTAAATAAATTTGGCTGAATTTATACCCATAATTTAAAATACCCATAATTTTAAAATACATTAAAAATTTAAAATTTACACTTAAAAGGGAGAAGATTTAGGCGAGGCCAGCTTGATGAAATAAAAGCGTCTTCAACTCGCGGCGGAAGGTGCGCAGATCCGGAATCCTCCGTATCTCTGGGGGGAGCTCATTCCAGATCGTCGGTGCCCCCACAGAGAAGGCTCTCCCCCTAGGGGCCGACAGCCGACATTGTTTGGCCGACGGCACCTGGAGGAGCCCCTCTCTGTGGGAGCGTACTGGTCGGTGGGAGGCTGTTAGTGGTAGTAGGCGGTCCCGTAAGTAACCAGGTCCTAAGCCATGGAGCGCTTTAAAGGTGGTAACCAGAACCTTGAAGCGCACCCGGAAGACCACTGGGAGCCAGTGCAGCTCGCGCAGGAGAGGTGTTACATGGGAGCTCCATGTTGCTCCCATAACCACCCGCGCGGCCGCACTCTGCGCCAGTTGGAGCCTCCGGGTGCACCTCAAGGGGAGCCCCATGTAGAGAGCATTACAATAGTCCAGATGAGAGGTAACGAGGGCATGAGTGACTGTGCGTAACGAGTCCCGATTTAGAAAGGGACGCAACTGGCGAATCAGGTGAACCTGATGAAAAATCCTCCCGGTCACGGCCGTCAAGTGCTCTTCTAAAGACAGCTGTGAGTCCAGGAGGACGCCCAAGTTACGAGCCCTTTCCGTGGGGGCCAATGATTCGCCCCCAATAGCCAGCTGACTATATCGGGACGTCGGAAACCACAGCCACTCGGTCTTGGATGGGTTGAGCCTGAGCCCGTTTCTCCCCATCCAGATCCGTACGGCCTCCAGGCACTGGGACATCACTTCAAGGGCATCGTTGGGGTGGTCCGGGGTGGAGATGTACAGCTGGGTGTCGTCAGCGTACAGATGGTACTTCACCCCGAAACCACGGATGATCTCGCCCAGCGGCTTTACATAAATGTTGAACAGAAGGGGCGAGAGAACCGATCCCTGCGGCACCCCACATATAAGGGGCCTCGGGGTCGATCTCTGCCCCCCTGTCAACACAGACTGCGACCGGTCAGAGAGAAAGGAGGAGAACCACCGTAAAACAGTGCCTCCCACCCCCAACCCTTCCAGCCGGTGCAGCATGATACCATGGTCGATGGTATCAAAAGCCGCTGAGAGGTCTAACAGGACCAGGACAGAGGAACAACCCCTGTCCCGAGCCCTCCAGAGATCATCAACCAACGCGACCAATGCCGTTTCCGTGCTGTACCCAGGTCTGAAGCCCGACTGGAACGGATCTAGATACGACGCTTCATCCAGGTACTGGGGTAGCTGTCGCGCAACCACACTCTCAACAATCTTCGCAATGAAGCAAAGGTTGGAGACTGGACGATAATTAGCCAATACTGCCGGGTCCTGCTATATACTGCTATATAAGTGCTATATGATCCTATTTAAATGCAAAATGTCACTGGGCAGGATGTTGCCTTGTTTATTTTATACATTCCTCATGGCTTATGGCAAATGGATCACCATCTTATCACTAGAACAAGGCAGGGGTGAAATTCAGCAGGTTCTGACAGGTTCTGGAGAACCGGTAGCGGAAATTTTGAGTAGTTCGGAGAACCAGCAAATACCACCTCTAGCTGGCCCCAGAGTAGGGTGGAAATGGAGATTTTGCAATATCCTTCCCCTGCCACGCCCACCAAGCCACGCCCACAGAACCGGTAGCAAAAAATTTTGGATTTTTCCACCTTGAACAAGGTTATAAAGTATTTTGGGTTCAGAGCGTTGAGGAAGGATGGGCACGGTCAGATATTTTATCTCGCTTTTATTACTTTTATAAATAACTCAAACCGGCCAACATACATAATACTCCTTCCTCTTCTTATTTTAGTCCCGCCTGGACTACTGTAATGCTCTCTACATGGGGCTCCCCTTGCGGAGCACCCGGAGGCTCCAGCTGGTCCAGAATGCAGCCACGCGGGTGGTTATGGGGGCGACTCGGCGTTCCCATGTAACACCTCTCCTGCGTGAGCTGCATTGGCTTCCAGTGGTCTTCCAGGTGCGCTTCAAGGTGTTGGTTACCACCTTTAAAGCGCTCCGTGGCATAGGACCTGGGTATTTACGAGACCGCCTTCTGCTACCGATAGCCTCCCACCGACCAGTACCCTCCCACAGAGAGGGTCTCCTCAGGGTGCCTTCAGTCAAACAATGTCAACTAGCGGCCTCCAGGGGGAGAGCCTTCTCTGTGGGGGCACCTACCCTCTGGAATGAGCTGCCCCCGGAGATACGGCGGATCCCGGACCTTCGCACCTTTCACCGTTCCCTAAAGACGTTTTTATTCCAGCAAGTCGGGCTGGCATAACTTTTTAAAATTATTTAATTTTTAAATTGTTAATTATGGATTTTAATACAGGGGTGTTTTTAATTGTGGGCCAAATTAATTTAATTGGATTTTAATACTGTTTTTAAATTTTGTATTTCTTGTGTTTTATCTGTTGGCTATTCACCGCCCCGAATCCTTCGGGAGAAGGGCGGTATATAAATATAAACAAACAAACAAATAAATAAATAAATAAATTTTCCCCACAAAAACAATGGGTTGGACTGAGAGAGAGATGGACTGGCCCAAAGTCACCCAACCAGCTTTCGTGCTTAAGGCGGGATTAGAACTCACTATTTCCTGGTAATTGGCCCAAAGTCATCTGCCTTCATTCATGCTTAAGGCAGAACTAGAACTCACTATCTCCTAGTTTCTAGGCTTATGCCTTTTAACCATTACACCAAACGGGATGTTAACAAGAGACCTCAAAACCCGGAGATTTTCAGAAACAATCATTTTGAATAGGCTATAAAAGACTTCTTAATTAAGGATAATTACCGTATTTTTCAGAGTCTAAGATGCACCAAAGTATAAGACGCACCTTAGTTTTTGGGGAGGAAAATAAGAAAAAAGCTGATTGGCAGGTGGATCGGCCTCCCGGAATATCTCCAATCAGCTGTTTCCAGAGGTGAATTTTAGCAACAGGTTCATTAGTTGTGAGCTCTGCGCCTTGCTTTTTTTTTCTGCCTCTTGAAACTTCTGAAACTCCGTTTCAGAAAAAAACTTTTTTCTGCCTCTGAAACAGAGCTTCAGATAAAAAGACTTTTTTTCTGAAGCTTCTTTCAGAGGCTTCTTTCAGCCTCTGAAATTTCTGTTTGCAAGGTTGGGCAGGGCTGCATTTGGAGTATAAGACGCACCTAGATTTTCACCCCCTTTTTGGGGGGAAAAGGTGCATCTTATACTCCAAAAAATACGGTATTTATAATTCAATGCATCTAACAGCAAATCCTTGCTCATGTTTGCAGAACATACAAAAAGCATATTTGCTTATCTCACAACTGGTTGGATCCACAAAGACACTAAGCAACAAACCATGGTTTACAATCCACATAGGCTACTTTCAAACACCACCCCACCCTAAAGTATAATCACCCCTTTCCCCCCCCGACCTGTCAAAAAGGCTTCGATCTTTGGGGATTTCTTTGGCTGACAGTCTTCCATCTTGAACCCGCAAATTTCTTTGATGAAGGAGAGCTGGTCTTCCTTTTCCACTTCGCCCACTGCCCCACCAAGGCCCCTTACGAATGAAGGCCAACAATTTTTTTGCAACGGAGGGACAAGCAAAAGGGGTCCTCTCCAAACAAACCAACAAACCAAAAGAAAAAAGAATGAGTTTATACCATCCAAAGCGAACTTGGTGGGGAAAACAGCGCCCGGGGAGCAGTGAAATATAACTCCGTGGGGAGTGTTCTTGGAGATAAAAAGATGAGCTGTAAGCAGAGACGCAGCAGGTGGCCAAAGAGGGATTTCTCTGGGTCAATTATTCTTTTTTCCATCCGGTCAGAGGGTAGCTCACATAAAGCCAGTAGACTATTCAGGCGGTGGTTAATTTGCTGGGAGGGAATTTTGAGGTATGGATCCACTAAAAAGAGTCCTGGATTAATTGTGAGATTAACAGAGTTGGAAGGGACCTTGGAGGTC